TAAATTCAAGTGGCTAGCAGCTGAGTTATCTGGTTAGCAGCCAGGCACTTAACTGTTTGCATCACCTAGAAGAACCACTTTTTAATTATTTTAAAGTTTAATTAAAAAAATAAAGCGAATGCTGGGGAAAGGCAAACTATTTTTTACTGTGCTTTCAAGTGGCTGAGTTAAGAGTATTGTAATGACCAGCCAACATGCTGACTAGCAGTCTAGGACATCAAAGTCAGTAAAACAGCTCAGTTATTTATTGAAAAGGAAATTTCTAGGGAGGCAGTATGGTACATAGGTTAAGCCTATGGGCCCTGGAGTCAGGTTATTTTGAGTGAATCTCTGTTCCATGATTTTGGGAAAGTTACTTAATCTCTTTATGTGTTTCAGGTTCCTTCTCTGTAAATGATAAAAGCACTTGGCCCTTAGTTTTTGTTAGAATTACTTGAGAAATTGTAAACACTTAGGTCAGATCCTGGCACATATGAAGAGCTTAATAAATGTCAGATTTTACCCAAATTTGTTGTTGTTGTTGGGTGCCACTGAATAGATTCCAACTCATAGTAACCCCATGTGACAGAGCACAACTGCCTGGTAGGGTTTTGTGGCTGTAATCTTTACGGAAGCAGATGGCCAGATCTTTCTCCTGTGCAGTCACTGGGTGGGTTCGAATCGCTAACGTTTTGGTTAGCAGCCGAGGCACTTAACTGTTGTATCACTAGGGCTAGGTGTTGTTAATAAAAGTGAGTGGGACTTCCACTTCTGATTATGGCAGATAAACTTGTATAAGACCATTTCATCTACTTAGATCCACTAGAAAAGATGAATAAAATAATGGAAAGCATTTGCTGAAGGCATCAGATAGCTGTCAAAGAACAAGGACTTGAGATAACAAGATCCCAGAAGAAAAATCATAGAAGAGAGCCCCACCACTTTCCCCTCAAGACATTTATTTGACAATTCAGAAGCTGAACAGAATGTCAGACAGCCTAATGGAGCTGAGGAAAAACACAGGAGTTCAGGGACACTAAAGGAAATGGTTCGCAGTAAATACCCAGATCTTAAGTGGAGACCTCTGAAGGACTACAGTCTAAGAGTAAGGTCTAACCAGAAATATACCAGCCTTTACAAAGACTGATACTTAGCTTTAAATGAATTTATTCCCACACAGCATTAAAGTACTCTGTCCCATCCTAAAGGTCTGGCAAAAAATAAATAAATAAAATAAATAAATACACCCTCTCTGGAGGAAGAAAACATCCTCTAGAACCTCATATTATTTCTTTAGTGTTTTGTGAACAATGCCCAGAATTTGAGTGAAAATTACCTAGCCAAAAAAAAAATTAAAGAGACAAGACGAATGAATGAAAACCTAGAGAAAAAAAGTAAATAGATGATAGAAACAGGAAATCTAGATACTGGCATTATCAGCTACAGACTTTAAAATAGCTGTTATTAATATAGTCAAGAAAATAGAGGAAAAAATGGCTAATTTCATCAGACATTTAAATCTGTGTCAAAAAATAAATGGACACCTAAAACTGAACAATGCATTAAAGTAAACAGATGTTATTTTGAGATGAAAAAGGAAGAAGATATCTTTTCTGTATTTTGACTTCATCCTAAGTAAACTGTATCTTAGAAGTTAATTAAAATAAATAGCTGAATAAAAATAAGGATGTATAATTTAAAACAGAATTTCAAATCTTTGGGTGAACAATACAGAGCTATAACCTCAGGAGAAATAATTGTTAAAAAAAAAAATCTGTGCCCTCACTATTCTTGTCACTAGCACGTTATAGAGAATAATCTGATCTTGTTGAAGGAAAATTAAACATTATGAGCAAATCAGTATCTACCTTTATTTTAAGCAGCAGTAGTACTTCCCTATCTCAATCCCATTACAAGCAAGAATATTATAAGAAACGCAAATGTACTTTCTAATTTATTGATCATTCTCTATGTAGTTTGCACCGTGGAAAAATTATGCTATTGGATAAATAGCTATATTTGGAGCATGATGGAACTGGAGATCATTTGAGTGGTCAGTATGGGCAATATGCACGCTAAGGTAAAGAAACATAATCAACTACTGGAATAAATCATATGAAGGCAACGAAAATGGAATTTGCCACAGTACATTTATCCAATGCATTACTAATTTTTAATCTACAACTTAACCAAGTCCTTTATTGGTGAGTTTTGCATAAATCAGAATTTTCCTTCTAACTACATAAAAACACAATAAAACAAAGCTAGCATTAGACTATCAGAAGCAGCTTATTACAGAAAGAATAGATAGCACTTACCTCCCTATCTATAATTTCACTTCTGTAAGTTTAGCCAGGTCAGGAATGTATAAACATACTTCCTGTATTACAGGTTCTTGTGATTTGGTTAGCTCTACGACTTGACTAGGAATATCTCTCCTGACTATACATGTAATTGTGCAATATAATGGAGTCAGATATGAAGATTATTAAACAGCAAATATTAACAAGTATTTATAGAAAAAAAATGAGAAATAGATTTGTGAACTGTTATACATAATCTTTTGGGAAAGAAAAAATATTATGACAGCTTGGGATCACCAAATTAAGGTTTTCTGTCTTGGATTTGTTCTTAACTAGCTCTGTAAGCATGTTGTTTAATCTTTGTGGTTCAATTTACTTAGCTATAAAATAATCATGTATGTCCCAATTCCATAATTAAGCCATACACATTTACTGAAATCTTCTATGTCCAATGTCTTTGTGAAAGGCTAAGGATATTAAGAATATAGGAAACTGCTAAAGAACTAAAAGCTATAATGTTTGAGAAAGCACTTTGTAAAGGATAATATATCATGCAAATTACTATTTTTTTGTTATCATGTGATTATAAATATCTTTCCAGTTGTGCCAGCAGCATCTACTTCTCACATCTAATGTAAAGAGACTCTTATCTTGGCAAATTTTACAGACAGAAATTTGCCTCCACAAAGTGAAATGTGTGGCAATTATTATGGGAAAAAAAAAGGTAGAATGGGGGGAAAAACTGCTTTCTAATGAGACAGGCTCTTAAGGCAAATAATACAGTAAAAAAGGACTTCTTTAGAACTCTGAGTACAGAAGAAAGATTTTCAATAGGACAGTATTTTGGAAATATCTAGAAAGTATTAAAATTGCCTATGAGTTCAATATTTCTCCAAAACAAAACAGGAATAACATAATGGAAAATTTTCCTTTGATTAAAATAAAGAAAAGAAAAAATACTTTTAAAACACCAAACCACAACAAAGGGAGAACAGGAAGAATAAACTATTACTCTGCAGTGTGAGATAACCATTAAGAACAGAGCGAATAAATATGACAATTTTGATAATAAAGACTAGAGAGAGAGAGAGACCACAATAATAACATGAATGCCTGTTTTGACAAAGCCTACAGTGAGTGAGACTTTAGACTTACTGTCCCTGCATCTTTCCAGAAATTTTACCACTCTTGCTTAAAACAGTGGAAAACTAACATTCGAAAATGCCACCCTATACTCCCAGCAATACACAAAATTAAAATGAAAACTAGAAATGAATGAATCCCTTTGAGAAACATTGTCTCAGCTTCCAGTGAGTGGTATGTAAGAATGTGGTGGGCTATGATATCAAAACATAGCTCTGGATAAAGAAACATAGAACAAGACAGATCCTATATTATATTCTATTTACATTATTGCCCCAAGTAAATGAATACTTCCACATGGAAAAACTGTTCAAAGGAGTAGAAGCATGGTTATGAGATTTCCAAAAATTGGCTTGTTTGACTGAAATATAACTCTCTCTCATCTTATAAAATACATGGAATTCAGAAGATTTGACCAAAGCAAATCCTTTTTTATTATCAATATTCTTTCTATAATCAGGGATTTGTTAGCCAAAGAAAAAATACTCCCACATTTGAAAACACGATACTGAGTCTATATGACTATAAATACCCATTAGGGTCCTATTAATTATTAATTCACACTGCAAGAATTTCTCTCACGACTAGTGACTGCTCAAATATCACAACTGAAGTTCCTGGAACTTTATCCTTATATTCTTTGTTTTTCTCGCCAACAGTTCAGGTTGTCTAATAGATTTTAATTACTTTGTCAATAGAGTACAAAACTAACGTGCTGTTAGTCCAGTCTAAACATTCTGTAAATTTAAGGCTATAAGTCAGTAAATCTGCATTCTTTACTTTGTCAATTTGTTAAGATGAAAGTTTAAATTCTCTTGTTCTTTCTGTCACTTGTATCTCCATTAGTTCTTCCTACCTGGTTACAAAACCCTGGTGGCGTAGTGGTTAAGAGCAACGGCTGTTAACTAAAAGGTCAGCAGTTCAAATCCACCAGGTGCTCCTTGGAAACCCTATGGGGCAGTTCTACTATGTCCTTTAGGATTGCTATGAGTTGGAATCAACTCGATGGCAATGAGTTTGGTTTTTTGGTTGCTATCTGGTTGCAGTAAACATCGACCAAAGGGATTTTGGACTCAGCTGTCCCGGAATGATTTCAGTACTGGGTTATTGGGCCACACAGGTTTTCAAATCTACTAATACTTTTGGAATTAGAACAAAACAATGTCACAGAAACTGATAAGGAAACAAACAAACATATATAAACACAAATATTAAGATTTAGGTAAGAAATTTCTCCAAATTAGAAATATTTTCATTGGGGATATTTCACAGAAATACCTTTAGAATATAATTACCCAATAATTTTACCCAATAATGTGTAATTCGTGAGTCATAATGCCAATGATATCAGAATTTAAAAAATAAGCAAAACTTAAAGAATTAAAAATCAATCCAGAAGTCCAATCCAGAGATTTAAAAAAAAAAAAGTTTTTATCAAGCAAAGAAACCAGGAAGTTAAGAAAATAATTTGAAGTTCATGACTACAAGCTGCGCCTTTCTTGATACTTAGAGAAAAAGGTAGGGGTCAAGGTTGGGGGCCAGGCAGGGGGAGGAAATTATCAATACATGACTTACTTCTTTGTATCCAAAGATGATGCGTCCATCCGTAAGGAGGGTTGCCTGGAATGTGAAGCTTCCCAGGTTGTAATTATCCTGGAGATGTACGTGGTCCCACTGGACAACAAGTGCTGTGCCTAAAAAATCCATTGGAAAAAGAAGAAATGCAATGAGAAAAAACATACCAACCAATTCTGGTGAGAGTCTCATAAAAACTGATTTGGCCTTCAGATTTAGGACTTGTGCTATTTGGATTTTATGTGGTTAATTGGAATTCTGTTGTTGAAAAAGCATTTGGGTTATTTTTTAAAGAATTGAGTATTCTCTAACTATTTGGAAAAACTTAATCTCATACTGAGGTTAACATTGAGCCCAGTGTGGGGGAATGTTGCTTTAGGAATTTCATTAATGTTAATGGATGCCGTCTGCTTACATTTCCATGAGCCACTTTGAAAATGCAGCCCAAGTGGATTGAATGAACTTCAAACACATTTGACAAACGCTGAGAGAGAAAGAACATGTTCAGAAAAGCTAGAACCACTTATATAAGACCTGAAAATGTCTTTTCCATGCTTAGAATTATACTTTTCCACACTGAAGTGGAATTATACTTTTCCTTTAGCACTAATGGAATTTTCTTCTTTGATTCACAATGCCTGCATTTCTGTCTTTGTTGTATTGCTTCAAGGAGGCTGCAAGGTAGCTTAATGGGCCCTGGGCTAAGATTTCTGAAGCCACCTTGAAGTATACTGGAATGAATCTTCAGCACTGTATGTTATATTCTGATGACTCAATCTGCCAGTGTTTACTAAAAAACTGTTAGTATGAAATAGAAATTGAAATATAGTTTAATAGCCACCAATGAGAATTCACATTTTTAATTAATATTGTGCATTCTTTAAAAAAAAAAAGAAAACAAATGAGTAGTTAAGACTTTTACTTAAAAAAATAATGATACAAAAAAATAATACAGAAAAACTCTCAGAACTAAAAGAACAAAACTCATTGCCTGGCTCAGTAAGAATCTGATAAAAAAAAAAAAAATCAAGATTGTAGAGTAGAACTAATTTAAGCAACGATTCTGTACTAAAAGTAACATCTCCTGAGCTAGCTGACAATTTTAAATAGACATGCTATTTCAAATAAATTGTGAATGCCAAATTGTAAACCCTTGTTGTTGTGTAGGGTCACTATGAGTCAGAATCAACTCAACGGCAGCAGATTTTGTTGTTGTGAGCTATCGAGTCAATTCTGACTCATAGCGACCCCATATGACAGAGTAGAACTGCCTCATAGAGTTTCCCAGGCTGTAATCTCTAAGAGAGCAGATCACCAGGTCTTTTCTCCCGCATAGCGCCTGGTGGGTTCAAACTGCTGATCTTTTGGTTAGCAGCTGAGCGCTTAATCATTGCACCACCAGGGCTTCTTAAAAGGTGTTAAACCATAGAAATGTATTCTTTTTGAGATAAAACCTTAGAAGTCAAGGAATTTAGTTTTGAATTTTACCTTGGTGCTTTTAGCCATAGGAAACATCTAACACATACCTCGGTTGTGAGTGAAGAGCCAGGTTGTTTCCTTCCACAGGCACCTCCCTGTCTAGACTATCATTTTTTATTTTTTAATTGAAAAAGCCAAAGAGTACAATAATAGCGTATTAGTACAGGGGTTTTCTGATCATAAAATGCCTCTTACAGACTTCTTTTTCCTTCAAACATGTCCACAAATCTCAAGGTCCAGTCTCGTCTTTATTCGCTAATTTCTATCAGAGATACTGGTAGTGCAGAGAAAACATGGAACTAGAGCGAAGAATACCTAGATTTTCCTGGCTCTAATAACCTATGGTGTGATCTTGGACACAGTTAACCTGCATGAACCTGTTTCTTCACCTATAAAATGGGTGTAAAAATTCTTGCCTTCGAGGGATTTCTGCATTTAATACAAAATAATACCAACATATTTGATTATTGATGCATTTAATGTATTCATACTAGACAATAATACCCTCAATTCTTTATGAAAGAGAGGTGTAAATGAATGAATTTTTTTTTTATGCTGAAGATATTCGTAATGTAAGTGCCACTAAGTTTGTAAATGTAAAGTTTTGTATTATGTAGTAGCAAAGCCCTCCCTGCCTCCCAAGATTTGTTGATTTGAATGATTCTATGTAGTTGCTGGGTGGTGCAAACAGTTGATACTCTCAGCTGCTAACCAATAGTTTGGAAGTCTGAGTCTTCCCAGAGAAGCCTCAGAAGAAAGGCTTTGCAATCTACTTCTGAAAAATCAGCCATTGAAAATCCTATGAAGCACAGTTCTATTCTGACACACATAGGGTTGTCATGAGTAGGAATCCACTCGATGGCAGTTTATAAAAATGGTAAATAAGTAGTATCACCTCAGAAATTATTTAGTGTAAATGCTATCATTAAACTTAAAAATTAGCTCAATATCTCTATACTGTTTTTCAAAAAATAATATTTCAAGTTTCATTTTTTAAATAAAAATTCTGAAATCAAAAACTTTATGGTATGCAGGTTAGTGGGAGTGGTTTTTAGAGACAAAATGTCTATATTTATTTATTTATTTAATCGGCCCCTTACTCAAAATATTACTCCCCAGGTGATGCCTAATAGCAATTAGATAAGTCGAACAGGAAGGCACTTTCCTTGAACAACTATGATGTATGCGAATACGCTGTGAAGAGAAAACCATGGGCTGAAAAATAGGGTTAGTGTTGTCTATCCTAGCTCATGACTGATAGCCATAAACTTTCTCCTGGGGATGGGCACAAAAATCTAGTGGCACATTTCCTCCCGCCAGATATAAAGCTATTATTAAGGAACACATATAAGACTACCTGAGCTGCCACACCATCCCATGTGGTTGTTGGAACTGAGCTGTTTTTGTCCCCTTCCCCAGAGTGCTTTATTTAGCCACAATCAAATTATTTGATTAGCAGTGGATGCTAATTTGTTATCGCCAAAAAGCAAACAGAGAAGTAGGTTGAACTGCTGGTATTTAAGGTCACCAACTCCACATTTTTGATACTATGCTAGATCAGGCTTCCGATCATTGGTTAGACTTATACTATATTATTTGCAATTTAAGGAGCCCTGGTGGCACAGTGATTAAGCACTCGGCTGCTAACTGAAAGGTCAGTGATTTGAACCCACCAGTTGCTCCCTGGAAGAAAGATATAGCAGTCTGCTTCCACAAGGATTTCAGTCTTATGGGGCAGTTCTACTCTGTCCTATAGGGTCACTGTGAGTCGGAGTCAACTCTACTGCAACAGGTTTTTGTTTTATCTGCAATTTATGAGTCATTGAAATATTTTTCTAGTGAAGAGCTTATTTTTATAATGTTACCTTTTTTTTGTGCATTAATATTCTGTGACTTACTTAAACTGCAGTAAATATCCAGACCAGCTATAACATTTGGAAGTGTCATCTCATTTTAAAATTTTACTGCTTTAATAATTACAGATAAATTATCTTAGAAGATTTTTTCTAACCTGTTGCTGCCTCTCTCTAGAGAAACTCCCATAACATGTTGAATTTCCCATCTTTAAGCATTTTGTCAATGATCCCACCCAACTAAAGTTGAAAATGTCTCAGCAAGTCGCTATGGCATAAAAAGAACTTTGTGAAGAGCCTTACAATATTCAAAAGAGTTTCATTCATTTAGTAAAACACAATTACTCAACTTTCATATTCTAGGAACTCAGTATTCCTGTTAGTCATTACACAGAAGGTATTTCAATGAGTTAAAATACATTAATTCTTGAGTATTAATTCTTATGACAGTTCTCAGAATTAAATACTCTTTTTACATATTTTATTTACTTAATTATTGAATAATTCTGAGGGCCTACTATGTGCCAGATATTGAAGATAAAATGATCTTCAAAATAGCCACAGTCCTTTTTTTCAAAGAATCTGGAGTCTAGTTGAAGTGATATATATTAATTCTAAAAAATCATTCAGATAAATGGAAAACTCAAATATTAAGAGCTACCTAGAAACTTGGTGCTATGAGATAGTATATTGGGGGTGGGGAGATATTTAGTATATTTTAAGATTTTGATGCTAATAACATAAAAATTTGTTCATCAGAATCCTGCACCCAGAAGTAAATGTCCCCAACATCACCTAGTAAGCAACACAGCTTGAAAGATAATCTATTTTTATCAGTTCATTTTCTGTTTACTTAGGGTTCATTGCTAACGTGAGTTTTGGTATGGGAGGTCATAGAATAAGCTTCAGATAAGTTTTAGCTGTAGTTCTGCCACAAGTATACTTGCAATCTACTTTAACAACCTTGGGCCTAAAACACCTCATAAATTAAAACAAAAAAATAAAAAGCGGGATGATGGACTATAACAGGTATTAAAATAATAGGGGGAAATAACTATTATAGCTAACATTTAGAGTCCCTGGGTGGCACAGTTAATATGTGGAGTAAAATTCATAGTCATATGCCATTCATACATTCTTTCACTCATTTATTCCACAAATGTTTATTAATGCCTATTTATTCTGCACTATAATAAATAAGTGCTATAAACAACACCTTGGACAAAGCAAAAACATTTATCTGATGCTTTGCAGTAAGTACTTCCTATTTAAAAAAATATAAATGATAATTTTGTTACAATCCACTTAAAAAATGTTTTCCCTGACTTTACAATATGAAATAGAGCCTGAAAAAATTTATCAAGTGTGCTGACAGCAGTCTATTTCTGCTATTTCCTTTGGGGATATATAAAATAGTCAGAGAAAACCGATAATATACCATTAGCTACTATTAAAATCCAAGTAAGAAGTTTAAGCTCTTACAGACATAAATGATGTTTTTATGTCTACATCTTATTGAAGGCTGTAAGCTTGGTAGGGAAAAGAAATTATAGGAAAGAAGAGTTTGCTTTGGACAAGTTAATTAAAGATCAAATTTATGGTACTCTTCATAGTACAAAAATCATATTTATTTTCCTAAATGACAATTTCATCTCTGAAAATAATAGAAGCATTTGACATAAAGTCGTTTCTACTCTTGTCTTATTTCTGGTGGTCAAGGAAGAAACTTACTAGTGGGTGGTAGACAGATTTGATAGTGGCACAAGCCTTGGGAAAATATCATTTGCTAAAAGCAATCTTCTGATCAGTGCGATGAAGCCATTTTATAGGTTAAAATAGCAAAGAACAAGAAAATTAAACATAGTTATATATACAACTTGGGAAATAAATTTCAAACAATTTAAATTATACCAACACGGGATCCAATGTCTGTTGTAATTGTTTACATTGCTGTTGAGTCAATTATGACTTGTGGCGACCCTATGTGTGCAGAGTAGAACTGCTCCATAGGGTTTTCAAGGCTGTGACCTTTCGGAAGTAGATTGCCAGGCCTGTCTTCCGAGGCGCCTCTGGGTGGGCTCCAACTGTCAACCTTTAGCTAGCAGTTGAGCACTTCACAGCTACAGTGTAACATTTGTCATCTTATGGCATTAGCCTCAAGAAGTTTACAAATCCAATCTATGGAAAAAAATAAAAAAAAAAAAAATCCAGATTACAAAATTATATCAATTTGGTGCCTGATGTTTAAAAGCACACCAAAACCTGTTGTCGTCGATTCCAACTCACAGCAGCCATATAAGACAGGGTAGAACTGCCCCATAGGGTTTCCAAGGCTGTAATCTCTATGGAAGCAGATCGCTGCATCTTTTTCCCCTGGAAAGGCTGGTGGATTCAAACCGCCAGCTTTTAGTTAGCAGCCGCATGCTTAACTACTGTGCCACATGAAAGAAAACCTGTTGCTATGCAGTTGATTCCGATTTCTCCTTTAAAAGTATATAGTCATTAAAAAAAAAAAAAAAGGCAAACCAATACATACCATTGTCAAAATATCTGACTGTTGAATTTCTGGACACACTGGGATCAAAATTTGCCATTAAGGGTGCTATGTATTGCGTGGCTGTTAGCATTCGATGTACAACTTCTCCAGTGTATATAAAACCTATAATTAGAAAAATAGAAAATATATTAAGAAAAGATACCTAGGTAAAATTATAATTAAAATTCTTTCAATTTAATTACAGCCATATTTTAAAAATAAAAAAATCATACTAGGCAGGAAAAGGAAAGTAATTGACATCTTACTAACATAAGTTGGTTCTGGATCAAATAACAAACTGTCATATGATTTGGTAGTGCCTTGTAGATTGGTAAATCACTTATCTATAAAATATACTATTTTAACTGTGGAAAAAATTACTATTACCTTAAAGAGATTATTAAGCCAAAAAATGTGTATACAGTACAACAAGCAATTCATGCATTCAATTTGCCATTATCAGTATCTTGTTATTTTAACACTAACCTAGTATACATGTCCTTTTACAAATGAATTCATTTTCTTCATATTTATTTGCAGTGTCTTACATTGCAATTTCAGTTTAGAAGTTTTTGGAAACCACGCAAGCATACTTTTAATACTAAAATACAGAAAATGTTTTGATTCTTTTCTGGAAAGTTGAAATGAGGTTAAACAGCTATGGAGAAATTTGCCGTTTCTCAAATTGCTCAAGCTTTTATAATACTAACATCCTTTATCCAGAAAATAAAGTCTATGTTTTGGCAGATAAGATGCCAAAACGCTGATAATACACAAATGTCTTCCTATTTAGAGAGAACCATGCCTGCCTTTTCTAGCTGTGGGATAATGAGAGAATTTACTATGGAAGACTTAGCCTTTGAATTAACTTTCAATAATTCTATATTACAACCCTAACCAACTTTCAGTTATTCACACTGGGTTTATTTACTCTGTGGATTATCCATGACCAATTGTTAATCCCATACAGGCAGTCCTTGGGTTACAAACCTCCAGTTTACATACAACCTGTAGTTAAGAACCTACCCCCATAAAGCCTATTATATTAAAAATTCGAGGTACATACAATGGTTCCTAATAACAAATGGGTAGTACTTTGTGATGTGCATCAAAACATTATTATTACTATATTATTAATGTTGAAGATGTTTTAGTGCATCTGGAAGTGTTTCTTTAATGTTTTTATGCACACAAAAGTACACTATATACACTATTCTAAGACAAACATTTGACTAACTGACGTTAGATGAGAACTGTACCAAACTGTTGCCACTGAAGTACAAATTCGACTTAAAGACAGAGTTAAGACGACTCCTTCATAGTCTGCGGACTGCCTGTACTGGTTTCTTGCCTCCAAGGTTATTAATTGCCTGAAAAGAAAGTCAGCTCAGGGAATGCTAACTAATTTTAATTATCAAACTAAGATATGCACAATTAAGTACATAAATGTAAATGAACACACACAATATTACCAAATCAAATACAAAACAAATTATTTATAAAAAGGCAATACAATGTGCAGGGAATCATGAATGAACTGGATATCTAAGGAGACTATAGATTTTTTTCTATTTTCACAGGAATTAATATAATAAAACAAGATTTAAAAAAAAACATAAAATGTTGTAGTATTTAAATCTTAAAAGTGTTTAAATACTGGATAAATGATCAGGAATAAGCCTTTCATTGACACATTGTGTTATTTATTGTTTCAAATTCTAAAATTTGATTTATAGGTACATAACTGCAGAATAAAATCTGTGATTATTTATTTGTCTCTTTCTGGCAATGTCTTCTTTCCTTTGACTTCATTTTATTTTTTCTATCAAAGGTATAACTGAACTCTAACTCTTCATATTAAAAGTTACATATTTTTAAAAAATTTTATTGTCTTTTAGGTGAAAGTTTACAGCGCAAATTATTTTCTCACTCAAAAATTTATACAGAAATTATTTTGTGACGTTTGCTGCAATCCCTGCAATGTGTTAGCACTCTGTCCCTTTCCCTTTACACCTCGGATTTCCCATGTCCATACCTCCAGGTTTCCGGTCCCTTCCTCCTTCTTGTCTTTGCTTTTAAACAAGTGTTGCTTATTTGGTCTTCTATATTTGATTAAACTAAGAAGGATGTTCCTCACATGTGTTAAACTGTTTGTTTTATAGGACTGTCCAATCTTTGGCTGACAGGTGGACTTTCGGGGTGGCTTCAGTTCTGAGTTAGCAGAGTCTCTGGGGGCTACAGTTTCGGGGGTTCCTACACACTCTGTCAGACCAGTTAGTCTGGTCTTTCTTTGTAAATTTGAATTTTGTTCTACATTTTTCTCCCACTCTGCCCAGAACCCTCTATTGTGATCCCTCTCAGAGAGGTTGAAAAGTCGTATTTTTAACTAGTAAAATTTCAACATGTATTTCAATCACTGATTCTTGTTTCTCATTTGTTAAGCAAGATCTTTCGGAATAAATTTCTCCAATGTCTTAAGAAAATTTTTGCACATTTATAATTTCATACAGCCCGTGTACTAAGACATATTGTGGTGATAATTGTTTATATTATATATTTTATAATATATATTTTATAATATTTTCCTGTAGTCCAAGATTTTCACAGTCACACTTTTTTTCACTTTTTTCTTTTTTTTTAATTGTACTTATGGTGAAGGCTTACAGAACAAATAGTTTCTCATGAAACAGTAGTACACATATTGTTTTATGACATTGGTTAACAACCCCACAACATGTAAACCCTCTAACTTCTCAACCTCTATTTTTTGGTGAAAATACACATAGCCAAAGATACACCATTTCAAAAATTTCT